AATAGGGAGGACCTAATTTACCAGCTAGCAATAGCAGCTATCCGTAGCAATTCAGAAAATGGGATCTTGATATAGGGTTAGAAAAACTGGCCAAGGAGGGCGCCTGGGTGGCTCGGTCAGTTAAGCGTCTGCCTTCAGCTCAGGTCATGATCCCAGGGTTCTGGGATTGAGCCCCGCGTTGGGCTCCCTGCTCGGCGGGAAGCCTGCTTCTCCCTCTGCCTCTTTTGCTCCCCCTGCTTGTGCTCTCTCTTGCTCACTCTCTCTCTCTCTCTTTCAAATAAATAAAATCTTAAAAAAAAGAAAAGAAAAACTGGCCAAGGGTATAGAACAGGGAGTCTAGAAACAGCCCTACCCATTGGAGGTCACCTGATTTATGAAAACTATGACACCGTAGTACAGTGGGGGAAAAACGGTATTCTCAGGCAATGGAGTAGAGCCAGGTAGTTATTCACACAGAAAAATAAGGAGCTTTGGCCATCTCACACTATACATAAAAAATCAGTACCAGGTGGACATCATATCTATACTTGAAACGTAAAGCAATCTGGAGCACTGAGGCTTTTTAGGATGGTGAAGTTACTCTGTGTGATGCTACAGTGGCAGATACAAGTTGTTGTACATTTGTCCAAAGCCCTAGAATGTACAGCATCAAGAGTGAACCCCAACGTAAACCATGGGTGCGCGATAATGATGTATTGCTGTAGGTTCAGCAATTGTAACAAATGTGCTACTGTGGTTGAGGTAAACAGAACACAAAAAGCAATAACCATAAAGGAAAACTGATAAATCGGACTACAGTAAACTAAGTGGTTTTTGTCATGGAAACACAGCCATGCGAAAAGGCTTTGCACTTGAGAAAGTTGAGTTGTGGAAAATGTTTGTGAAAAGCCATCTGGGAGAGGCTTTAAGTATTTAATTTTCTGAACATTTGGATAACAAATAACTCAACCAAGTCTGAGTTATGAATTCAGAGAGACTCACAGGCTGTTTTGACCACCACACGGATTTCTGCAAAACTTAATACAGGCTTCCGTCCTTTCATCCCAAAAGACTAGGAAAATCAAACTTCTCCCCAAGTCCCTAGTTTCTTGCAGTCAGTAGCGGTTCTAGAATTTCTATGGAGGAAGGACTTAGGAACAGAAATCCAGAGGAAGGGGAAACGAAGAATTTGTCCTGAATCTAGGGCGTGCATAGCACTTTACACAGGACTGATCAAATGTCCATTTGCCATATCAAAGAGCAATGGGTGGGGTGGAGGAGACGGGGCAGGGCCACCCTGTGACAGTGATCGCCTGTCTCCTCACCTTTTCTAACCGGCTCACTTCTCCAGAGCAGGCACGTCACCCAGTGATCCAGAACCACCAAACAAACCCAGCCCAAACTCCTGGCTCTTGCATGCCTGTCCCAGAGATATGCCAGGTAGGTGGGGGCAGCACCTGCCAGATAGCCACTCTGGAAACATGGGAGTCAGCTGTTAAGGGGACAGAGGAAATGGGCAACGTGTGAGCCTCTGTGTTGAAGAAAGTGACAATACTAGACCTGAATAGAAAGCAAAATGAACTTTGGAACCCAGGGGATCATGTGCTCTCTTCCCACCCTCAGAACTAGGTCTTTGCCCCAAGACGAGTACTACCAGCCCCAGGGCTCAGCTCCCCATCCACCACCTCCCCAGCGGGGCCACCTCTCAGTTCTGCAGCCTCTGCTGCCCCTTGGTGGCGACTCCTAGAATTGCCTCAGACCCGGAACAGATAGCCTTTGGCAGGGAGCTGTGTGCCCTGGTTCCTGGATAGCGTGCGTGCGTGCATGTGTGCGTGCGTGTATAGAGGGGAAATCCTTGACTCACAAGACAAGGCTGTGCTTCTTTTAGCGAACACATAGAATAAGGAGCACATAGGTGGTACTTTCTGACCACAAAAACTCTCACGAGACCATTTATAGATTCGTCCTCCCGAGAGTCCTGGAGCAGCTGGAAATACAGTCCAGAGCTTTCCTGTCCTCATTCAGATGAAAACTGCTTGACTGAATTACCAGATCTCTTAAATATTTAAGGAAGGTTCTGAGTTCCTAGGCAAAACTAGCCAGGATAATCCTCACAATCACTTTTTTTTTCTGCTAAAGAAGGAATCAAATTCCCAGCTGTGACAAGTCATCAGAAAGTACAAGTCTAGAACTTAACTAAATAATCTCTCAAAAGTAATTCTTCACCCCCGGAGGATATAAGTATATAGCAAGAATCCCAGGGGGCTAACCAGAGGAACATTATGCTCTGACATCAAATAAAATCTTGTCTACACTCCTTGAAGGAGTAGCTCCCCAACCTTTGGAAGATGATTCCTTTGCAATGTCAAAATATTTCACATATCCCCTCGTAACACAATGACAAAAAGAGGCTATGAATTCAATGCTTTGGGATGAATTTGAATGTTATTAATCACATTAAACAGCCTCCTCATACATTTGAAAAATTGCAGGAGTTATGTGAGACTCTGTATTCCAACCACAGAAAGAGGTGCAAATGTGCCATCCCTGTCTCCCCAAACATCTGCTTGGCTCCCAGAGTCTTTCTTGGTCCCACATCAGGCTAGAGCTGTTAGAAGCAATAAGAGCAGACAGATGCTACAAACTAATTCCGAATGATGAAATGCGGGTAGGGCCCAGGGCACGGTGTGGAACTAGAAGGCTTCCACCAGCTATCCTCAAATTCTACCCTCTCCCAAAAAGTCACTCAGGAAACATTTATTCAATGCCTAAATATGCCAGGCTTGCACAAGACAGACCAAGTTTTCACCTTCAGGAAGGAAATGATGTCTAAGATTTCTCACAGTTTTTAAGTGCCACAAAACATTTTAAGACTTAAAAGAAATTAACAGAGATCAAGAATCAATTCTCGGGTACCTGGGTGGCTCAGTCAGTTGAGTGTCTGCCTTTAGCTCAGGTCATGATTTCAGAGTCCTGGGATCGAGCGTCGCATCGGGCTCCTTGCTCAGTGGGGAGCCTGCTTCTCCCTTTCCCTCTGCTGCTCCCCCTGCTTATTCTCTCTCTCTCTCTAATAAATAAATAAATAAAATATTTTTAAAAAATTCTCAGGTTTTTAAGTGGAAAAGGGAGGCCCAGATATTGTGTGAAGTCACTCACTTGGGGGGTCCCGCTCAGTAAGTCCCAGAGCTGGGACTAGAACCGCATGCTCTGGAGACCTCACCATGACACCTTCCACTGCCGCCCAATCTGCAGGAAGGCACACAATCAGCAGCCACTAAGAGAGCCCAAAGACTATTCCCCTCTCTGCACAAAATGGAAAACATGTAAATATATGCCCTCCTTTCTTTATTGTTTTTTTTTTTTTCTATATCAATTGTCACCTTCTGTTTGTCCTTCTAATTTTGCTCTCTAAAGTAGCTGGAGTGAAGTTTCTAAAAGGAAATCCAATATGTCACTCAACTGCTCAAAATCTTCCTTGGCCTCCCATTGCAGTTGAAATGAAAACTCAACCTCTCGCCATGGTCTTCAAGGCCCTGCCGACCGGGTACCTGTCTCTTGTCCAACATCACACCCTCCCTCCTTCGCTCGCTTGGCTCTGTATTCAGCTCATCACAGACAAGATCTAGTTTTGAAAGTATGAATAGCCTGTTAGCCTTTACTGTGTGTCTTAGTCTGCTCAGCCTACTATTACATAAATACCATGGACTGAATGGCTTGAACATCAAAAGTAGTTCTCACAGTTCTGGAGGCTAAGAAGTCCTAAGATGCCAACGGATTGGGTGTCTGGTGAGGGCCAGATTCGTGGCTCACAGATGACCATCTCCCTGTGTCTTCACCATGGTGGAAGGGCCGAGAGATCTCACTGGGATCTCTTTTCTAAGGAACTAACCCCATTCAGGAGGATTCTACCCTCCTAACCTAATCACCTTCCAAGAGCCCCACCTCCTTATACCATCATCTTGGGGGTTAGGATTTTGACATAGGAATTTGGGGAAGACACACACATTCAGTCCATAACACTGTGGGAACTTTGGCAGCTAATTTTTCCCCTACAAAATGGGGACAATAATAGCGCCTCCAGCATAGGATTGTTCTGATTAAATGAGTATTTGTAGAATGCTTGGAGCCGTGACTTAAGGTGAGCAGTACCTAAGCGGCTGTTAAAGAAATAAAAATAACAAAAATAAAAAGTTTGGATCCACATGGTTTCCAAGAAGCCTTTGTCTAAAATGTAAATCTTTTACACAGGGATTCGACCACTGCGGCCATATTGCATTTAGCTTCCTGACGTTAGTACTGAGAAGAAAGCCTGACATGGGCAACACCTCCTCAGAAGTCTCTCCTTAAGAACGTGCAGCTGCCAGAAATGCAACCCAACACGTCCCATCTGCTGATCACACACCTGTGCTTGGTGTCCACCTTCCCGGCGAGGGCATCGGCTCCCCAGGGCATGAGCTCCATCTGTCTTGCTCAGCACTCTGTCCCCAGGACCGAGCACAGCCCTGGCTCACAGAGGACACTCAGTATTGGTACAAGGAATGATGGTTGCACTAGTTTTCCAGCTTCCGTTTCCCAATCTGTTCTAGCTTTTTCTTTCCCTGTTCTTTCTGCCCCCATTGATTTCCTGCTCTTGGCCTTCTTTGTTCCGTATTGCTGCTTCCCTGCAATTGGAATTCAAGCTCAGGAGGAAACAGCTGAAGAGATGCTCTTTTGGCACCAGTTCAGCCCCTCCGTGCGAACAATGGTGCAGAAAGCAGCCTGGAGTAAGAATATCAGAAAGTCTGCTCCAATTCCCAGGCCACATATAACTAGGCCAATTAGCATTCAGAAATTTTACAACAAGGTCATGTCTCTTTTCCTATCTCCATCTTCTCCACTGTCTCCTCCTTTTGCATCCCTACAAGCACCTCTAAGGGTCAGTTCTCAGCTCCCTCCATTTGATTTCAAATACTTTTTAGAAGTAGGCAGTGTGAAAACGAGCTCCCTTCAGTGGGGTCCGGTGATGTTCCCAGGTGATTCACCTCTTTCTGGCTGACCGTTTGCCAGGCAAACCCTCTCCACGTTTACAAACTCCCTGCACCCTGCACACCTCGGATCCACGGGCTCTCGGAGGCTGTGTAGCCAGCCATTTGTGCCGAGGAAGCCCCCGTCCTAGAGGCACCGAGTGTGAATCCCACCTCTGGCCCATTCTGAGTTCACCTGAACAAGCCTCAACTTGGTCAGACTTATATCACAATACAGGTGAAATGGGTAACAGGTGACAACATTTGATTCGTTTCTTTAAAGCAGAGGAATTACATCACCATTGTGTCATCTACAAATTGGACAAAGACATACAAAACTCCTTCTTCAACCATGAGTCTCCTTGGGCAAAATTCTACTATATGTGGCTTTTCTTTTATTACACCCTTTTTTATATAACCATGAGAATCTTGGCTCTCCTTACTGTGTTGAGGTTAATTAGAAAAAAAGAACAGGTGGCTGGAAATAGAAAAGGAAGTGAAGAACAAGATCAGATGTTTTATGTCTTTTTTTTTTTTTTCCAGTGGTATTTCAGGAGGAAAACGAAGCTGACGGAAAATAAACCCAGAGTTCAGGAGTGTGTGTTAGAGCTACGTGACAGGAGGCTAATCTGCTGTGTCTCTCCCTGTGTCTCCGGGAGCTCCAAGTCAGAGCGCAGCATAGGTACAGAGCATCTGTCTAAGATCCCATATGGGAAAAAGAAGAAAAGGAGGAGGGAGAGAGGGAGGCAGGGAGGCAATGAGAAACAGTTGTTTCGAAGGACGCAAATTAGCTACCCCCCAAATAAAATTCAAATTGCATGCATCTAATTGAAATTGTAGATAGTGCCTTTAAAAGTTTCTAGCAAGCAAACTATGGTAAATAAAAACTGATTATACAATTTACATTATAACCAGGCTAAGATGTAAGGGTTTACACGGGTATACTTTTTAAGAGTCAAGTACTCTCATTTTTGCTTTATTTAGTGAAAATAATATATGTGCATGGGTTTGCACAAGTAGATTTATACCCTACTGTTCCTCTCATCTTATTTTTTCCATTAACTCTCAAGTTCCTCAGCCAAAATTCTTCTGCCATAATTTTTTTAGTTTAACAATCATTCCACATAAGAACTATATGGGCAGTGTCTCTGAGGCCACTGAGTGCCCTCTCCAATCACACACTCTCCTTCCAACTAAAGGTAAGCAAGCTCCCAAATTTTCTCATAATCACTCTCTTGCTTTTCTCTTTGCTACATTGTTACCCATAGCTCTAGTTTGATCATTTTCACTGCTATATAGCATCCCATTTAATGACCAGATCAAAATGTTTATTCTCCTACTAATAGTACTTGGCTTGATTCCCGTTTTAAACTATTGTGAATGATTCTGCTGCAAACATTCTTGACTTTGTGTACTAAGGCACATTCGCAAGAGTTTTCAAGATCTTGAAGCAGGAGTAGACTTCTGGGTTGTAGAGAATAAGCATGCTTAAATTCCCTAAGTGTTGTCAATTTGTTATCCAAAGGACTTGTACAAATTTATACTCCCAACGGAGAGGAGTATTCCCACTGTTCAAAATCCTAGTCAATACCAAGTATGTGTCATTTTTTTTAAATTCCTGACCTGGTAAGCATGAAATTTTATCTTCTAAAAACAATTTTTATCTTCTGGATTTAATTTGCATGTCCCAGATACCTAACGAGGTTGAGCGTCTTTTCAGAGATTATCATGATTTCCCCTTTTATGAAGCACCTATTCGCCTATTCACCCATTTTCCCACTGATTGGTTTTTCCTTTCCTTTATTGTCTTGTGTATATCCTGGACACAACCCTTTTGTCGGTTATAGGTGCAGGAAATATCTTCTCCCTTTTTGTGGCCTTTCTCCTTTTCCTCTTAACTCTGTGGTTCACCTACTGAACAGAAGTTGTTTATTTTAACGTAGTCAAATCTATCATTTTCTTTTTCATTTCTGTTCAGTGATTTCTTTTGTGGTCTGAACTCACTCCTGAGCTCAGCAAGTTATTTTGGTGTAGGGAAACATAAATGAAAAGCCAAAGATTTTTTTTCTTTCTATGTGTTTCTTATTGCATTAAAGAAGGCACAAGAATTTCATTTTGCTTTTGTCATTGACTGGAATGTACTAATCAGAACAGGGTTCTAGAATAGAGGATAAAGGCCTGGCATCAGAAGGAAACTTTGGAGAAATTATGCAGTTCAGCCATATCTTGAAAAGTGAGCCAGAAAAGTAAGGGTGGCAGAAAAACAAGGCAAGAAAGTAGAGAGAGTTGTCACTTGGTTGATACTATTTTGACCACCAGCGGGATGGTAGCCAGAAATTCCAAAAGGAATCTAACAAAGTAGACTAGAGCATCCAGAGCTGACTGCCTTTACAGCATAGGACCCCAATTTATAGTAACCAACTTATAATGAGGATAGTCACAAGCAAATGAAGGGAAAAGTAATAAGAGATGGAGCCCCTCAAGTTTTGGGGAGGTCTAGGAGGGGTTGTACCTTGGACCCCCCCAAAAATGTTATAACTAATAAGGAAAGGATTTATGTGTAAAAGGCTAACTTGAGTCTATGCACTCTAAAGAGACCCTAGAGACTTGGGTCAAAGTGAGTGAAAATAACAAATTATGTAGTTCCATGGCTACATTGTCTCACCTGGCCAATTTACCAGCAGCTTCTCTTAGGAAGAAACCCCAAGAATCAGGAACCCAGGGCTGGCGTAGGTGGATCCCAACTCCTGGCCCCATGTGTAAGGAATCAGAACAATAAAAACAACGCCCTGCTCTGATTGCTCTCTCTGCCCTTGCCCTGGAGGGTCTGCCAGAGGACAGAAATTCTACGTGGAGTTATTCAAACATTGAGCATTTCCTATGTCCAGGCAATGTGCTAGGCATTAGGAATATTGAAATATTCCTGGCAATCAAGATATTCACAGAAGACATAGGATATAATCTGGTTCTATGTGCAAGCCTCTTAACCCCTTAGCCTGGTTTAACTCATCTTTCAAATTACAATAGAAATGCCTTCCCGGGTAGATTTCACTGGATAACTGTGAGGCTAAAAATTTATAATATTCAAATGCTATCTAGAGTTGAATGTGATGTATACATATGACATCACTAATATATTTATATATAAGGCTGACGGGCTTCTTTCAAATTCTTCCATGAGTTTAAAATTCTTATTTTTCCCAGTTTTCTCTTTAGAAAGGCCTGAAGAGGATGTAAAGAAGAACGGGCTTCCCCATAATGTCACAGGCAGTACAAAGAGAACCAAGTGATGAAGAGGATGACCCGGTGCAGGGAAGGTCAGCCTGCAGGCAGGTCACAGAGCATCTGGTCGGTTTGTGGGTCTCAAACTCCGGCAACATAACCCACCCCACCCCCACCCCCGGGGTTGATAGTTACAGCAATGACTATGGGATGCAGCTCAGAAATTTACATATTTAACTGTGACCGCAGGTCACTCAGATACAGCTTAAGGTGAGCTGCCCTGTTATTTAAAGCTCACCTTCATCCCTAGCCCTACAGAGCATGAGGAACTAAAATGGGTAAGTGACCGTTTCAGTTTATTCAATTAAGGGGGACAAATGAGCAGATGACACAGGCCCCAAAGTGCAAGATGGCCTTTTCCATTTACTAAATTAGCTAACTGCCAAATCTATGCTATACTTTGGGAAACAAATCAGCCATTAATCTTTAACAAGGTTTTAACCTTAATTTCAAAATTCCAATTGTTACTTCATCTACCCGCTCTCTAGGTCTCAAATTGGGGTTCTGGAAATTAGCATCAGTTTCAGGGCCTTCCTCTTTCATTAGAGTTTAATTTATCAAGGCGCTCAGGTTTATTGACAACATAAGAAACCTTTTGCTGAGGGGGAAATGGAGCTGCTTCTGTAATCTTTGGATCATTGAGAGATGGAAATAAATCAAGTGAAAAATTATCAAATTCTTCTGTGTTGTGAGGCCAAAGGCATCATTGACCAGGAACACCCTCAGACGAGTTCTTACTTATGGAAAATTTGCCTCTCACATATATGCTCTAAATTCTTTGTATGTTAAACTAAAGTCAGATTGTCTTCTTGGCAGTCTCCAAGGTATTTTTTTCAGTACTTGATTGGAGTTAAACAGTATGAATTAAAATGGGTTCCAAGAAGTAAGAAAATTAGAAGACATGCTTCCAAATCTCATGAAGCATTCACAAGTAATCAATGCAGAACATTTGCAAATGATAAAAGAGAAATGCCGGCAGATAATGTTATCAATATGTGTGTTCAGAAGGCTGAACAACATGACTTAGTATCTTTTGGCTCCATCTGGTAAACTTATGTGAGTCACACAATGTACTGGGCAGTTTATTTCAAAAATCCAATAGTACAACAATTATGCCTGTTTAGAAAACGGGGGGGCTGTAATTCTAACTCTCAGATGAACAGGAAAATCATTACACATTTGAAAACATATCATAGGCAGCAATTGAACCTATACAGAAATCCTGTTTTCACTGTCCACAGTTGCTCACAGTCAACCATGGTCTAGGAAGCAGATGATCCTCTTTTTTTCTTTTCTTTTCAAGATTTTGTTTTTAAGTAACTGCTCCACCCAGCATGGGATTTGAACTCACAATGCCGAGATCAAGAATCCCATGCTCTACTGACTGAGCCAGCCAGGTGCCCCAGATGATCCTCTTTCTGACCCATCCTCAGAAGGTCAATAGTAGCCTAATGCTGGGTCACAACACCTACTTCATTCATGTCTCTTCATTTCATCATATAGGTATTTTATCATTTCATCATCAGAAGAAAAGTGGATACAGTATAATAAGATGTTGAGAGAGAGAGAGAAACCACACTCACATAACTTAGTACAGTTTATTGTTACAATTGTCCTATTTTATTATTAGTTACTGTTGTTAATCTCTTACTGTGCCTAATTTATAAATTAAGCTTTATCATAGTTATGTGTGTATAGGAAAAAACATAGTACATATAGAGTTTGGTACTATCTGTGGTTTCAGGCATCCCCTGAGGGTCTTGAAATGTATCCCTCATGGATAAAGGGGGGAGGATTCCTGTATTTGGAAAGTATTCTCTAATCATGTGCAGAAAACCTAGACCAAGATGAAAAAGGATGGTGAAAAAAAACCCAACTCATATTTCAATTTAACACGCCCATAGAAATGATTTT